CATCTCAAAAAAAGAAAAAACAAACAAGCAAACAAAACAAATATTGAAAATCACATAAAAGAAATGTATTGAAAAATAGAACTTTGCCACCCACAACAGAAGTCCCTCCATGTGTCCTTGTCGATCATAACCTCCTCCTTCTTCTCCCCATAAATAAGCACTATCCTGACATGTACAGAAATATCTTCTTTGCATTTTTTAATGTTTTCATCACTCAAATGAGTATCTGCTAGGCACACTTAAAAATTTTGATGTGTCTTTTAAGTATCATCTAATCCATAGATCTCTCCTCTGTCCCTTTATTTTTCTTTCTTTTTAAAAATAAATTTTATTGTATATAGTTTGGAGTTTACAACATGACCTTATAGGATACCTATGGATAGTGATGGTTACTATAGTGAAGTAAATTAACATATAATCTCACATGTTTATTTTTGTGTGTCAATAGCAGCAAAAATCTACTTATTTCACAGAAATCCCTAACACAATTGCATTAGCTGCAGCCCTCAGGCTGTACATTGGATCTTTAGACTTGCTCCTCTTACATATTTGTTACTTTGTATCCTTTGACCTACATCTTCCCATTTCCTCCCATCCTATCTCTGGTAACCAGTTTTATTTTTTTATATTTATAAATATACCACAGTACATTTGACCTTTTCCCCCCACATACAAGATAGATCATTCAGTATTTGTCTTGCTGTGTCTGTCCTGCTCCACTTACCAGAATGTCCTGTAGATCCATCTATATTTTTGCAAATGGCAGGATCTCCTTCCTTTTTAAGGATGAATAATATTTCATAGTGTGATGCGATGCACATACCACAGTATCTTTATCCACTTATCTGTCAACAGACACCTAGGATGTTTCCATATCTTGGCCATTGTAAATTAATGCTGTGCTGATCATGGGAGTGCAGATATCTTTATGAGATGGTGATTTCACTTCCTTCAGATCCTTCACCCATTTTTTAATTGTTTCTTTTTCTGCAATTGACTTGTAAGAGTTCTTTATAAATTTTGAATATTAACCCTTTAATGTAGTTTGCAAATATTTTTCCTAGTATATAGGTTACCTTTTCATTTTATTGATTGCTTCTTTTCCTGTGCTTTTCTTTGCTGATTGCACCCTCATATCAGGCTATCAAAGGCACAAAATGTCTGATTGTTTCTATTCCCAAGTTAGCAGCTGTTGATGCTTAATAGCTATACCTATTAATTCATTGGGGCTAGCAAAGTGGGGATATTCTAATTCTGTCATTTGTTTTTCCATTACTAATCAGAATACATTCATAAAGAAACATTCCCTTCTTCTACCCAAGTGGGACAGCTCACATAGCAAAGGTTGGATAATGCTTGATTCTTCCCTTTACTTAACTAGTTTTCAAGGAAATGAAGTAGTTCCCTTACATCCTCTGAAGATGACAAATTCTTTTTCTTCGCTTTGGTGCTGGCAGACTGACTGCTTTCAGGGGCTTTGTCACATGTCTTTCATTTTCCAGAAGCCTGTAAACCTGGTGGAACAGAACTGTATGTGGCCTCTGGTTTTACCTACTTAGCAAAGAGCTCCAAGAACACCCATTTCTGTTTTTGCATAATCACAACTCTTATGTAGAGATTTAAAAACCTAAGGGATGACACACTGGCAATTTTGCATGATTTAGCATCAAGACTATGCTACATCCTATTTAAGTTACTGTGTGACTGTTCTTTTTCCTTTCCACCTTCATGCCTGCCTTCCAGCCCTGCTGAACTACTTACGCAAAGTTTTCAGCCTTTCCACCTTAATGCCTTTGTGCATGCTGCTTCCTCCTGCCCCACTTTAGCCTCAGCTTAGTCACCACTTCTTCCCGGAAGCCTCCCCAGACAACTGATCTGACAGAGATGTCTCTTTTGTTTGTTCCCATAGCATCTTGGTTTTGCCTTATCGTAGCACTTATCTCACTGATTGCAATTGTCTGTTTATCCATCTGCTCACTCCCTTGTTGCCCATGAGACTGTGAGTGGCAGGGCCTGTGGCTTGCTCACTTCATCTTCCCCAGTGTCTGCACAGTGTCCAGCATATTAGTAGGCTATCAATAGGTAATTGTTGAATGAATGAATAAAGCCCAAACTTCTTCATGTCACTCTTTCCATTGCACTCCCACCACTTCTGGTTCACTCTTCTGCTAGACCGCTCACTATCCTGAGTTGAAATCTACCCATATCATAATTCTACCCTTCTCCCTATCCCAGCTAGAGAGTGAGGTCTTTTTAGAGACCAGCTCTAATCTCCTTTTCTATCTTCATTGTCTAGCAGGATGCATAGTGCAGAGTAGGCACTCAATAAATAAACTCTTGGTGTTACTTCTCTTCCAATATTGTTATTAAAAGATAAGAAATCTATTGTCTCCATAACACTAAGAGCAGTTAATGTGAAACTTGTTTCTGTGCTCAGTTTGACTTCCTCTTTTAGAATCATTTTTGGGAAGTGCAACAAAGTTCCTCTTTATATTTCCCCTACCAAAGTGGCTTTTGGAAAGTTTAGAGCACCCCATGCTCCCTCCTCATGAAAGCTTTCCTCAGCAGGCACACATGCCATTCTCTTATCCCCTGAGCCCCTTCCCTGAACTGGGTCTTATGTTCCTGTTTGCCTCAGTTGATGCCAGAAGCCCAAGTTTCCCACTTTCAAACCCCACAGCAAGACTCAAGCTACTTCTCTTATGTTTAGTGGCTCTACTCCCATCCAATGCCATGTTTTTGCAACAGGAATTCATTGAATCAATTTTTCTCTCCCTCTTGGGTCACCCCCACGAGCATACAAACATGCTGTTATTTTTCCTGTCTTAAAAACGTGGACTTAATCACACCACGTTGTTTGTCTCCTGAGTTTGTCTCCTTGTTTGACTCATGGCCAGACCTCTTCTCAAAGCCATATACTGTCTGTAAACGCAGGAGCAAACCAGGGTTCACCTGCCCCAACCTGACACGGAGTGACTGCCTTCCTTCTGCTTGCTGCCCCTTGCCACAGTCCTGGAAGGGCTTTTTATTCTAAGGCATAATTGGAGGTCAGTGCTTCTTTGGATTCTCTGACATCTCAGATTCATGTTCTCTGAGCAGGGAGGGAGCTGAGAATACTCCAAATAGTGTCTTTTCCTTTTTCCCTGGCCTCTTGGTCAAAGCTGGTGGGCTTAAAAAGTATTACACATAAATGAAGCTAGAGATACAAAAGACTTCCTGTCCCAGGGGTCGCTGTACCTCCTGGCAGAACCCGACACTTCCTGCTGTCACACATGCTACTGCACGGGAGAGAAAACCACAGAGCTATAAATCTCTCCTATGCAACATTGAGTGTCTCCAATGGAAGAGAGCCCTGCGGTCAGCCCGTCATCCTTCTCTGTGCTCAATTCCCAACTGGGGCTCATGCCATAGTTCCCTACCGCAGAAAGGAAGCATACGCTATCCATGCAGGCTGGCCTGTCTGGCCCTCTGATGAACAAAGGGCACCTAAATGTAAGAAGACAAGGAACTCAAACATTTCCTTCCCCCTGGCTCCATGAGAGGGCAGGGAAGTTTACAGATCCAGGGGACTCCTTAGGGCTTTGGTCAATTGAAAATACCTCTTTCCCCAGGCCAGAGATCTGCACCCTTTCTTTGTACTGAGCCAAGATGGTACTGTCTACATCAAACATTCTAGGTCAGTGGTGAGTGGGGAGCCAAGGAGCCCTAGGTCATCCTCAGTAGTTCTCAGTGGCACAAAAGAGACCTGTCGTATCTTGGCACTGGCTATTGTGGAATATCATTCTCTTTTCTTTTCTGAGCATGGACTGAGCTTTACCTGTTCATCTGACCTCCAGGCTTGGCTCTTTCCAAGATTCCTATTCCATTAACAAAAGTTCCTTTTAGTTTTTACAGTGTTTCAAAACAGAGGCACTGATAGCTTGAGGCCAATCCTGCCATGCCTCACCCCCCACCCCATCTCCAGCCTTTATAACAAGCAAAACCCACATATTTTCAGATGCTCCAGAAAGGAATTAGACTATCCCTTATTGAGAAACACTGTGACTTAGGGGGGAATGCTTAAGAGTCTCCCATCTTTAAAAACTCCCTTGACCCCAGGGCTTCCCCCTTTACAGTCAGATGTTTCTGAAGAGCTGAATACACTTCCTCTCTCTATTTTTTTTTTTGACTTCACATCCATTACTGATCCTTCTATCCCAACCTGAGTTCAAATTCATTCCTACAGCTGTTTAGCTATGTGACCTTGGGCACATTACTTAATCTCTCTGAATCTCAATTTTATCAGACATAAGATGGAGATAGTAATAGTTACCCCTCCCATAGTATAGTTTTAGGGATTAAATGGATTATAGTAAAGCACTTAGGGTCTCTTACATAGGAATTGTAACTAGCCAGGCTAGTTAATTCTCTGAGAATTCTATTAGTGTTTTAATCATCATTGGGAGTTTTATGGAAGACAATTTGTCACCTTTAGACACTGGCAATCCTCTCCCCTCCTCTCCAATGTGTATGATTTTCCTTCTTGGCCAGTTGTGTAGAACTTAAATAACAATGTTAGAAGATACTGGGGCAGTGGTGAGCACTTGTGATTTGCATCTGATTTTAATGTATGATATTGGCTCTTGAACTGAGATAGATAGATAATAGTAAGAAAGCTTCCTTCTAGTTCTTTATTGCTAAGATTCTTTTAAAGCTTAAGCATATGTTAAATTTGTACTACATTCCTTTGCTGCATCAATTTCAATGATTGTATAATTCTGGTCCTTCAAACTGTGGGTGTGAATCCCATTACTAGACTCTCATATCCTGACCTGTCCTTAAAATCATCCAATAAAGTAGACTTGAAGATGGGCACTAGTCCTGTAATACAAAGCGTTTCATCATTAGAATGGCTGATTTGCTTCCTTCCTGCTGTCCTTGTCATGACATGGGTTCTTGGCATAGCCTGAGAAGCAAGAGAAATTGGTCCAGTAACTCCTTATTGAATTGCCTTTCTGCAGGCCTGGCGCAAGCGCTGGTTTGTCCTCCGGCGAGGCCGCATGAGCGGCAACCCCGATGTCTTGGAGTACTACAGGAACAAGCACTCCAGCAAGCCGATCCGGGTAATAGACCTCAGCGAGTGTGCAGTGTGGAAGCATGTGGGCCCCGGCTTTGTTCGGAAGGAATTTCAGAATAATTTCGTGTTCATTGTCAAGACTACTTCCCGTACATTCTACCTGGTGGCCAAAACTGAGCAAGAAATGCAGGTGTGGGTGCACAGCATCAGTCAGGTCTGCAACCTTGGCCACCTGGAGGATGGCGCAGGTAAGAGCGGAGTTGGGGCTCCCATGTGCTAAGGGGTATCCCAGGACTGGAGGGCTACTGCAGAAAAACACTTCAAGATGCCAAGCCTGCCTCCTCGAGGGTGTTTTGGCAGGCTAATTTATATCAGAACTGTCCCTACCAAATACGGTACTGGAAATTGCCCTCTTTTACTCAGTCCAAATGTGGGAAGGCAGAGTCCATACACACACTGAGCATTGTAGGCTTTAAAACCCCTTCATGTCTTTGCTCTCATTCAACCACAGTGAAAGTCAAATGTGGATAAGGATGTCTTCCCATGATGCTGACACTCATGACTTTCTAGAAATATCAAATATTGCCACACTTCAAAATATTGTGGAACTCCAGTATTTCTGGTACCTATTGGGTTGTTCATCACTAAATGGTAGAAAGAGAGAACTTGGCTACTTACCGTAGGCAAGAAAGATTTCCTTCTACCTCCAAATGTCTCAAGTTCTCTGCAGAGGAAATTAGTTGTAAGTTTGCTCTGGGCCATTTCTGGACAGTGGGGGCAATTGACCCATGAAGAGTACCCCAGACTCTCTCTCTCTCTGCCACACGCACACACGCACACACATACACACAACTCTTCCTATGTAATTTACCAGGTATATTGTAATCTAGGGTTACAATTCACTTCCCTTCATGGATTTTGTTGTTGAGCCCCTGACATTATTGCAACATGCCCTTTTCCTCAAAATATGAGATTTTGAATCTGATTTCTTTTAGCCTCTTAGTCTAGTAGACAAAACTTGGCCCCTAAATCCTGTGATCTATACTTGCTTCAACATTTTAAGGGTTACTGTATGGTTTCCACCATCTGCCACTGAAATATCCACACTCTAACACTAGGTGGCAATGGAGAGTCAGAGTTGTATCTCCCTCCAGGACAGGCACAAGAGAGTGTGCTTCCTGAGAACACATTCCTTTTCGTTTCGTGAACCAGGGAAGCGTATTAAGTGAGGCTATTCAGTAATATTGCTGAGCATTGAGAGCGCTCAAATAAAAGGAAATGAAGTGATGGCAAGTTCTTTATCCTTGGTACAATGGACAAAACTTAATTGGAAAGTCGCATTAAGTAGGTTCTGGCTAGAGTCTGACATTATGCAAATCAAGCAGAGCCTCCCTGACCAACTTCTCCAGCCAGCTCTTTACCACCCTATTCCACACCTTCAGCCCTAAATAGGTATATCGTCATATACTGTGTTATGTGTCTCCTCTGTTTCTTTCCTTATCCAGGAGTTATCCTAAAACATATGTACATAATATGTTTCCCAATAACCCAAGAGCAACAGGAATGAGTAAGGCACCAGGCCAAAACCGGAAAGCCTGCCCCGGCATGAAGTTGGAGGAAGCCAGAAAACTCACCTGTGACCCTTTCCATTCTCTGTAGCCCCCCTCAGTTTTTAGAACCACGTAAGAGCAGGGTCCTCTTCATCTGAGAATTACACCCAAAGGGCTTTCTTGTGACTTTTCACAGAGTGTTTGGTTCTGTCTCCAGCAACCATAGAGTAGTCAACACATTGTGTGTGTACCCTGGCCAGGAGCTCTGTTGAAATGCTTTTGTATAGTAACTCGTCTCATCCCCACAGCAGTTCTATGGCCTGTGTGATTATTATCTCTACTTTATAGAAAAGGAAACTTGGAGAAGGCAGGCCATGTAGTAATGGCTATGTAGTAGAGCCTGGACTTGAACTCAGGCAGTTCTGGCTCATCCTGACTCAGGAATCCTGGACTATTAACTTGGTTCAAAGGGGAAATAAAAGCAGGCTTTTCATTAGCTGTTTCTGATCTGAAGTTCTCATTGGTTCCTGATTCAAATTCATCTTAAGGGCCATGTTTTCAGGTGATAGGGAGGATGTCATGCTCCTTGAGAAAAAGGAATGTGCTTTTCCAGCCACCACAGCACAGTGTTTCTTTCCTTCCCTTTACTTATAACAGTGATGAACAGGATTTTCTATTTATGTGTTATTTGTCTGTCTTCTCTGCTAGAATCTAAACATCGATAAGGGCAGGATCTTTGTCTTGTCTGTATTGTGAGGGTTAGTGGCATTCCGGGTACATGGTAGATGTGATAGGTATTCTATATAGACATATACCGATATAAACATCTATGGATACACATACATATATGCACAAGTACATATATAATTATATGCATGGACTTGTTATGCATACATATATATATATGTATGTATGTTTGTTGAGTGAAAAGACAATGATGCAGGGCTGCTGCTGAGGGCCATAAAGAAGCTGTGTGTAGACTAACTGCAGAGTTTTAGGCCAAGAATGCTGGGTTTTTTACTCTTAATTGATTCAACACTTTGCTCTTGAACATTGGCCTTCTTTCCCAGACATTGTTTACAGCTTGGGGAAATGGTCTCCTCCATCAGTACAAACACCAGCTGTGATTTGCATCTTCTGTTTGGCTTCTTTGATGCTGTTTGAGAAATTTTGAGTGCGTGTTATAGCCATTCTTAAACATTAACCTGGGAAATGATTTCTCCAGCAGATTCCATGGAGAGCGTCTCTTACACACCCTCCTCCCTGCAGCCATCCTCTGCCAGCTCCCTTCATACCGCCCATGCTGCCAGCTCCTCCTTGCCAAGAGATGACCCAAACACTAATGCTGTAGCCACTGAGGAAACAAGAAGTGAGTCAGAGCTTCTCTTCCTTCCAGATTATCTGGTTTTGTCCAACTGTGAGACTGGAAGACTGCACCATACCAGGTATGTTTATGCCCAGGACTCTGTCTGAGCTGGGCCTGCTAGCATGCTCTCTAGAGTCACACTGCCTCCTCTTGCAGAGTCTGTAGCTGAGATGTGTTCAGTGTGCTTCACCAAATTAGTCCATTCAGTGGTAGCATTTTCTAGTGGGTGTGTCTGCTCTCATCTCTCTTCCTGCCAATGTCAAGGCAGGAACAGATTGCTATGAACCACTGTGAAAGATGAAGCATGCAGTATACTAAACAGAATGAGTCATGCATTTCAGCATTGTGGTTTCATTTCTAGCCTTGCATTTTCATGTGTATCTGATGCTTAGAGGATGAAAAAATCAACAAACCATTTTTCTTTTGCCACACCAAGGGGTTGGTGTAACTGAGTGTTGTAGAGGGAATGTGGCTGTGCAAGTAGCAAGCAAGGTGGTACTGGGGGGATGGGAATGAGGCCAGTGTTGGTTTTGTGGTAGGCGGATGGCTGCATTTTAGTCCAACTTACATGCTTTTCTTCCCCAGTCTACCCACCAGATGTGATAGCTGGTCAAACTCAGACCGTTCATTGGAACAGGCTTCATTTGATGACGTTTTTGTTGACTGCCTGCAGCCGCTCCCGTCCAGTCATTTGGTCCACCCCTCATGCCATGGCAATGGAGCTCAGGAGGTGCCATCCTCGAGGCCTCAGCCTGCCCTGATCTGGAGTAGAGAAATCAATGGGCCACCCAGGGACCACTTGTCTTCTTCACCATTGCTGGAAAGTTCCTTAAGTTCCACCATTCAGGTAGATAAAAATCAAGGTTCCTTACCCTGTGGAGCAAAAGAACTAGACATTATGTCCAACACTCCACCTCCCCGCCCCCCTAAGCCAAGCCATCTGTCTGAACGGCGCCAAGAGGAGTGGAGTACACACAGTGGCAGCAAGAAGCCAGAATGCACTCTGGTTCCAAGAAGAATCTCTCTCTCTGGTTTAGACAACATGAGAACCTGGAAAGGTAAGTGTTGGGTCCTAAGATTCAGGCGCCAAGAAAACCCTGGCTCCTCTTCACTCTTTGTGTCCATGTGAGGTCATGCCAGTGGACCCAACCAATGGGGCTACATTAAAATTACCTTGATGTGTACAGCTTGGTAAAAAGCCACATCAGTAGTGTGTACTTGTGTACATATGTGCTTGTCCCTTGCTCAAGCTGGCCTGATCTTCTAATGGGGCTGGATCCTTGGTGGAAGCATATACCCTGAAAGCAGCACACTCTTCTGTTCCCAGATCCCCCCACCCCTCCTTTGAGCCTGGCCACCAGGAGAGACATTTAGGTCCCCATAGATGCTGCAATAGGTTGGAACACTGGTCCCTTGTGATGGGCTTGCCCATGCAAGTCCTTGCCCATGTGGTAAGCTTTCCACCTGAATCTGAGATCCTAGTGTTTTTTGGAGTCATTCAGGGACCCACTTAGTACAAAAGTTGATGTCTTTTGTCTCAACTCAGTCCCATTCCCTTCTTTGCCTCTCTCTCACATACATAGAGAGCCCTGAGACCACAGATCATCACTGCCTTCTATTTTTCAGCAATCCCATCAGCCTCATTCATCATCCCACTAGACTTGTTCTTTCCAAATTCTAACTGGCTGTACAAAGGGCCCTTCCACAGCCGTCTTTTGCCCTTTTCTATAAGGCCATTTATCCTCACGAGGTTATCTTGCAATTCTGCTTGCAGTTCCATCTTCCTCCACCTGTTTCTTTCCACCTGGGCCTCTCTGGCCTTCAGAAGCAGTTTGGTGAAAGCCAAGTTAAGCCCATTCAGTGTGGTTTTTTATTGTGGGATCTGGCCAGCAGCCCACAATGCAATGGGACTCTCTCTTTGTTCCCAGGCGGATTGGCAGGTCAAGAAATAACAAACATACACAAGACAGTGAAAGCTAGGTCCAGCGGGGTCACCACCTTCTGGTCCCGTGGTGCCAACAATGCACTGGATATGCCAGCATTTATTATTAAGTTTAGCGAGGGCAGGGGTAGGTTAGTGAGGGATTTAGGGTCATTTGATTATGAGGTGAGATGGTCACATGGGGATTAAGTAGTTCTTTAACATAACATCTGCATGCAGAAGTACAGTATACAGAGATAAGAATTTACAGTATAGTGTGTGCATCCAGAATTTCTAACAGAGCCTTAAAGCAGGCACACCATCTTTCCATAACCTATGATTAGAAAGATATTAATCAGCAGTAGTAGTTGCAGCAAAAGCTGGTACAAACAATTCATAGAAACAGGACGTGAAGTTAGACAACCGGTTAGACCAGAGTTTCTCAGAAGGGGATATGCCTTAACCCTAAAGAGGCCTAGAAAAGCCGCAGCAAGATGAGGGTGTTTATAGCCCTATCTTATCCATGTGGACAGGCACCCCCCCATGCATCCGTTTATAGGCTCTCCACAAGGGTCGCATTCCATTCCCAGAGCTATAAACATCTGCTTTTCTGGGATAGGAATCTTGGTGATGTGAAACCTCCCTGACTGCATGTCCGTTCATAGGCTCTCTGCAGGGGGAAGCACATCACGCGCGGTTGGCTCATTCTGGCAGCCCACCTTTGCATTGTCTTTATACAATCCTGCATGCAATTTTGTATTTACAATAATCAGGAGCATTTCATCTTTTATTCTGTAGCAATAGTTTCAGGGAGTCTCCCTAGAGTTTTTCAGTAACCTCTTCTTTACTGCTTTGCTGGGCCACCTCATTTTTCTGCCGTGAGTCAACCAACCTTAACATTTTGCTCTTCTTTCTTACATCAGTCTGTATCTCTTAGATACACAGACACAGAAACTAATTATCTCTGTGTCTTTCTCTTTTCTTCTTCTCTTTCTTTCTCTCTCCATTGAAATATAATCACCCACACATCACTACTTATTTAGGCCATGTTTTCAAGGAATTATGGAAAGTGGAAGGAGTGCACATTTATTTTCAAATTGTACAAATCTCTCATTCTGACTGAGGATTTAAGTTACTGGCAAAAGCCTTCCCTAATGTCCCTAATGATGTTACCATTACATATGTTTCTTCCTTTTGACTATCCTTATGAAATAGGTGTATACTGATTACACAAATGATCTGGATGTGCTAACATGTGTGAACAGTTGACAAAAAGGGAAAAATGAAAGTGGTTAAGCACATTTTAGGAAGTGAAATGAATAAAACCGGTAGAATAATAACATATGAAAATGAATCAAAAGTCTTAAATTGAAGAACAAAAACTTGAAATAATTTGAAATTTCAACACAAACATAAAACAATTAGGTTGTGTTATTTTACATGAAGGCAAACAAAGGTTAAAACTAAGTAAAATAGAGGTTTTGACCATGAAACAAAGACCAAGACAACAGTGATGCCTAGAAGCAAAATGGCTCTGATAAAGCAGAGGGAATGCATAAAGTTTATTGTTCCACCTTTCCCACCAAGATTTGCCTGGAATCTGTGTTGGGGCATGGTGGCAGAGTGAGGTCAAGGTTCATTTTTGTCCATCTGCATCTCCATCCAATGACCCTGCAAGGCTGTCCTGCCCCCATGGCTCTCCAGCGCCCCCTCTGCCATAGATGAAGTGCCCATGTATGTGAGGTCTGAGTCTCCTTTCTATCCCTTGGAGCCCACTTGTCCAGCTTGCACCAATACCACACTCTCTTAATTACTATACCATTCTATCTTAATATCCAATAGGACAAGTCCTCCTGCCTTTAAGAATATAATGGCTATTCTAGGGTCAATTTTACAGTCAACTGGTCAGGTTCTAGACACACCTATATAAATATATTGGGGATTTGAGGAGGATTGCATCATATCTGTAGATCAGTTTGTGAAGATTTGACATCTTTACAATGTTGAATTTTCCAATCCATGAATAGGAAATATGCTTCCATTTATATAGGTCTTATTTTTGTATTTTAAAATATTTAATTGACAAAGATTTCATATATTCAAGGTGCAAATGCATATGTATCAGAACATGATGATTTGATATGCACGTGCATTATGTACTGACTATTACAATCAAACTAATTAACACATCCATGGCCACCCATGCTGTACATTGGATTCCCCAGACTTATTCACTTATCACTGAAAGTTTGTACCTTTAGACCAACATATTCTCATTTACCTGCATTCCCCAGTCCCTGACAACCACCATTTTACTATTGCCATGAGTTCGACTTTTTTAGATTCCACATATAAGTGAAATCATGCAGTATTTTTTTTTTTCTGTGCCCAGCTCATTTCACTGAACATAATCTCATCCTGGTTTACCCATGTTGTCACAAATGACAGGATATCATTCCTTTTTAAGGCTGAGTAGTATTCCATTCTGAATATATACCACATTTTTTATATCCATTATATCCTTTATCCATTCATCCAGTGACAGACACAAATTGACTACATGTTGTACTAGTCCATTCTCATACTGTTGTAAATAACTATCTGAGGCTGGGTACGGTGGCTCACACCTGTAATCCCAGCACTTTGGGAGGCCAAAGTGGGCAGATCACAAGGTCAGAAGTTCAAGACCATCCTGGCCAATATGGTGGAACCCCATATCTACTAAAAATACAAAAATTACCTGTGTGTGGTGGCAGGCACCTGTGGTTCTAGCTACTCAGGAGGCTGAGGCAGTAGAATTGCTTGAACCTGGGAGGCAGAGTTTGCAGTGAGCTGAGATCGCACCACTGCACTACAGAGCAAGACTTCATCTCCAAAAAAAAAAAAAAAAAAGAACTGCCTGAGACTGGGTAATTTGGGTAATTTATAAAGAAAAGAGATTTAATTGACTCGCAGTTCCACAGGCTGTACAGGAAACATGGCTAGGGAGGCCTCAGGAAACTTACAATCATGGAGGAAGATGAAGAGGAAGGAAGCATGTCTTACATGGCTGGAGCAGGAGGAAGAGAGTGAAGGGGGAGGTGCTACACACTTTTAAACAACCAGATCTTGTGAGAGCTCTATCACAAGACAGCACTAGGGGGATGGTGCTAAACCATTAGAAATCACCCCCATGATCCAATCACCTCCCACCAGGCCCTACTTCCAACATTGGGGATTACAATTCAACATGAGATTTTTGGGGAACACAGGGCCAAACCATATCACATGTTGTGGCTATTGTGAATAGTGCTGTAATAAACACAGGAGGGCAAATATCTCTTTGACATACTGATTTCATTTCTTTTGGATATGTATCCAGAAGAGAGATTGCTGGATCATAAGGTAGTTATATTTTAGTTTTCTGAGGAACCTCCATACTGTTTTCCATAATGGCTATACCAATTTACATTCCCACCAACAGTGGAAATAGAAAAGAAAGAAATAGAACAGAAAGAAAGAAAGAAAGAAAGAAAGGAAAAGAAAAGAAAGAAAGATTAGAAAGAAGGAAAAGAAGGAAGGAAGGAAAGAAGGAAGGAAGGAAAGAAGGAAAGAAGGAAGGAAAGAGGGAAAGAAGGAAAAAGAAAGAAGGAAAGAAAGAAAAAGAGGCTATACAAACAGACAGACAGACAGAAAGAGTCAGACAGACAGAAAGACAGACAGAAAGACAGAAGGACAGACAGACAGAAAGACAGACAGACAGACAGAAAGACAGACAGAAAGACAGAAGGACAGACAGACAAAGACAGACAGACAGACAGAAAGACAGACAGACAGAAAAACAGACAGAAAGGCAGAAAGAAAGAAAGAAAGGAAGACAGACAGACAAAGAGAAAGACAGACAGAGAGAGACAGACAGAAAGACAGACAGACAGAAAGACAGAGAGACAGACAGAAAGACAGACAGACAGAAACACAGAAAAACAGAAAGAAAGGCAGAAAACAGAAAGAGAGAAAGGAAGAAAGAAAGAAAGACAGAAAGAAGGAAAGAAGGAAGGAAGGAAACAAGGAAAGAGGGAAAGAAGGAAAGAAAGAAAGAAGGAAAAAAAAGAAAGGAAGAAAGGAAAGAAAGAAAGAAAGGAAGAAAGAAAGACAGAC